GCCTGAAGCGATCTTCCCACGTCGGTCTCCCGAAGGACTGGGATTACAGGCGTGAGCCATGATGCCTGGCTAGAGATAGGTTTTGCCTCCTATGACCACTGTGATCAATTGGTAGTGCATGATTGGAGCGACATAAGAAGGAATCTGAGATCCAAACTGGGTTCAGGAAGAGAATATACCCAGGCTGATGAGAAAATGTTACCTGTGGGTAAAGGAACGGAATATGGCAGCAAACACTGCCGTGACTGAACCCAGTCTCTAGGTAGAGGTGGGTAAAGAAATCTATATTCCAGGCACTAATGACAGTTTGAACAAAAACCTCTACCTCCTCTCCGGGCTGAAAGCACAATACAGCAATACAGCGACAGTAAGGAATTTTTTTCTTTAACGTATAAATCAGCAAGGATAGAAAGAATGAGAGAAAAGACAATAGCAAAAACACTTTGATGGGATGATGGGAAGTCAAGAAACAATCTGATTTATACCACGGAATCTCCAAAAGGCTAAATATTCATAATTAAAGACAACTGGACCCTCTCCCTATGGGGAGAGAGATGAGCTAAAAATAAAAAGACTTTTAAAAGTCCCTTCAGCTACTCTGAGCAGTCAGGTGACTGCCCCTTCTCTACCCCAGCAAAAAACCTGGGTTTCTTTCCCACTCCTTCACCCCCCAGGATATCTGTACACAAACAGCATGGAGGGGCCATGTGAACATCTGCACACTAGATGCTGAGACCTCCAGCCTTCTCCCCTTAGGAGATCACGGGCAGCCGGGCTGTCCTTCAACCTCCCAGAAAAAGACTGGAAGAGTCTTATTGGAGGACTCTCACCAGGCCAAGAGGTAAAGACATCAGAGGTTCCCCAATAAAAGGCCCAGCCAGATCACCCCACAGTGAAGTTCCCAGTTGACAAACCCATCCTTATCCTCAGCTTTTTAATCCCCTACTGAAATGTGAGCAGACAACCAAGGACATTAGAAACTCAAGGAAAGCCTCCTAACATAAAAGATAGAGATCTAAACAAATGAAAAGACAAAAGCAACTTGTGGAAACTGAGTCTGTGCAGGAAGGAAAAAACTTCCTCCGAAAAAGCATTACACTTCTGACGGAGATAAGAGAAGGCACTAAAATTACAAAAGAAAAACAAGAAATAAATAGATACTCAAACTTATATACACAAATAAACATGTATATATATTCAGAGAGCCAAAAAAGAGCTTTTAATTTGAAATATTAAAAAATATGATTACAGTCATGAAAGACGCAATGGAAGTCATAGGTGATAAAACTAAGAATATCTCCCCAAAGGTAGAACCAAGAAATAAAGAGGTACAAATTAGGGAAGAAAAGTTAAAATTAGAGGCCCAATCCAAAATATCCAATATCTGAACAAGATGTGTTTCTCAAGAACACATCACAGAAAATAAAGGGAGGAAATTACCAATGAGATAATTTAATAAAACTTCCCAAACTGAAGGATGAATACATTTCCAGATTCAAAAGAGCCCAACACAATGGATGAAAACAGCGAAATGGGTGAAATGTGTCACACCAAGGCACAGCATCAAGAAACTTCAGGATTGTGGAGGCCAAGAGGAAATCCTATTAATATAAACTTCCAGAGAGGACACAGCAGGTTGGTAACCCATACGTAGGTCACAAACAAAAACTGAGGAATCAGAACAGTTCTGAATTTCTTAACAGCAACACCACAAAGCTAGATAGCAATGAAAAAATGCCTTCAATATTGCCATCCTAGAACTCTACATTTGACAAAACTATCAATTGTGAGTGGAAAATAGATATTTTCAGGCATTCACAGTCTCAGAAAAATAGACATCCTATGCATCCTTTTCCAGGAAGCTCCTTGAGGATGTGATCTACCAAAACAAGGGAGTCTACGAAAATTGAGAGGGCATGTGCTTCAGGTACCAGGAGATCCAACACAGGATGCAGATGACAGGCATCTCCAGGATGATGATGAAGAGGCCCTCAGGTTGGCAGCTGTGCCCCATGTGTAGAAGGCAACCAGTCCAGATTACAGCAAGCTAAGAGGCTCAGGAACAGCCTTTTGGGGAAAATGAAATTGACAGATACTTGGTGCATTTGAGGGAGGATTTAGAAAACTAGCCAAGAGTTGTGGGTTGAATTAATGATGAGTACAAAATGAACAAACAAATCAGTTACTAACTCCAAGGAAAACAAAAGTTGTGCTTGGCTTAGCTATGAGTTTTGACCTAACCATTAAACAATATTCTGTTTTAACTATTGCGATGATGGGAAAACAGGGAAGCTATACTTACGTTGGGGGTTGGAAGGAAAAAGAGCCAGCTCATCGTCTTTCACAGCGGGAACTCAACAGATAATGCTTAAAATGGAAAACTCAAGAAACACAAACTACAACGAATAAATTACAAAGAATTATAAATGGTTGTTTCTGGAAAAAGAGAAATGTAACTTGAATAAAAGTTTAAGCTAAAAAGCAAAACAAAACAAAACACACTGGCTTCCATGCTCACATATTTTTACATTTGTTTGCTTTTTCTTTGTTTCCCTAAAAACGATCTGTTTTGAAAAATTCCACCCTCATTTCCCCTAAACAAAAGAAAATGTAATTTTGTACATCCAGACCACAACAGCTGTGGTCATTTGAGCTCTGAGCAGTTCAATATGGTGGAGAAATTAAAAGTTATCATCCAATCCAAGAACGGAATAGTTATAATCTAATCCTCGAGCCAGGGCAGAGATAAAAAGGCAAGCCCAGGTGTAGGCATGTTTGGAAGTGGAAGCAACTGCTAAGGCCCTCTCCTCTGGGTTGTTTTTTACTTTTCAGCAAAGCTATTTAATGGCATAATCACGTAGTACAGGATAATCTTACAATTGCCAGTGACCACGAGCCAATTGTACTCCTTTCTAACACAACTGAATACCCAATTCAAGACCCTAATCCAACCAAAGTAGCTGGCCTCCAAGGCTGGTGATCTGGGTTCAGCTTCAGTTACTCCACTGGCCTGTTGCACACTGGACAACAAGAGAGCACAGGAAAGGCTCTGAAACAAGTGACACTGTAGTCAACAGACACTTACTGAGCATACACAGGGGACCCAGCACCAGGCTGCAGACCAGCACCCCTGCTGACTCTGTGGACCCCATCTCCCTGCCCTGAACAGAAAGATGATTCTCCCTAGGGGTGGGAATGTGGGAGGCGGTGAGGTGGAAGCCACGCAGCTGGAAGAGCTGGGCCAGGGAGGACAGGCATCAATGTGGTCAACCTGGAGGAACCTGTAGGCAGAGGTGTGGTTGGAGGCCCAAGGCCCAGGCTCCCGGCACTCTGGACGCCCAGAGGGAGGCAGCCAGGCCAGTAATTCCTCCCCAAGCATAAAAGTAGGCCAGACGCTGCCCACGACCGCTGTCAAGGGTCAACTTTGGGAAGTAAAGGTTGCCATTATCTGAGCTTTACCATGGTTTGATAAAACACGGTCCCTGTACTTGAGTAACTAGCTACTGAGAAAACATGACTATCCTGATACAGAATAAAGTGGGTCGAAACTGCGAGAGCATACATTAATATTCCATATTCTTTCCTATTCGGAAGACATGAAAGTTCTAGTTCAAGGACCTATGTGGGGCAAAGGTATTGCCAACTGGAGTACGGCACTGATTTGCAGGTGTTAATACTTGCCCTTACAGTTCCACAGACCAGAATGTACACAGTCTCTGTGGGAAGAATCAAGATCATTAACATAAACACACTACAGGAAGCGTCCTGAGTTGGCAAGAGTAGTAATATATTGATCCGATTAATTGGAGAATGGGGAAGGATGGGGAAAGTCTTTCGTAAACAATAAAAATGTAACTAAATTAAAAAATACTTCCAAATACAGAATGTAAAAATTACCACACTTTTCTTTATCTCGTGTACATATAAACCATGGTAGTCCACACTACATGTGATTCTTGAGGACTAAGGAGCTGCCAGTATCACAAACTAATCTAACTAATCTGTTAAATCCCAGAATTTATTTGGGAGACCTGCTGGTTTGATGGGGGTTCCCCCGACTCAGCTTTTTAGTATATTTAGTATACTTCTAGAATAATCTAGAAGTAAATAAATTCTCAGAATTTCCTAAGAGGAAAATGAGCACTCACCGGAAAAATACAGGGCTTAAGTGCAAAACTTCTATTTTGGACAAGCTTCAAACCCACTTAGCCACCAGCCACCCTACTATTCCAAGTTAACACTGAGATCAACCCTTCTAATCGAATATTCCAGTTTCCAAAGAATGGCAGTGGATGAGATTCCTTCCCAACCTGGTACACAGCAAACACGTTATTTGTCCACGAAAGGAAAAAAAAAAAAAAAATCAAAAAGAAATTTTGGATCTGAGGGAAAGTGCACATTCCCGGGTCAAGGTCCGAGTTTTTTCCAATAAGTACATATATTCGCCCCTGTTTTCCAGATTCAAACACAATTTCCCAGGGGGGAAAAGAAAAAAAAAATGCGAACTTGACGAGGTGAGGCGCTCGGACACGTGCACCTGTGGAACATCTTCGTCTACACCGCCGACTTTCAACCAAGACTGCGCGGCCACCCAACCCCAGAGGGGGCATCAACCCCGCCGCGCATTTGGGACGCGAACCCAACGCTGAACTTGCCGCCGGGCGGCCGCGGCCCTGGAACCTCGGGGGAAAGGGGTGTCTGCTCCTTGCGCGAGGTCAGCGCCCGCGCCCGGGAGGCGGAGGGGCGGCTGCCGGCCGGAAGGCCCGGCCACGCCGGGCGCGCACCTGTCCCTTCCTCCCGGGCCGAAGGGGACGGTCCCTCACCTGACGCGGCGCGCCGGCGCTCACTGCAGCGCGGAGGGAGATCCCCTTCCCCAGTCCTCGAGGGTCCGTCTCCGCACACGTGGAAGCCCTCTCGCCGCGCTCACCCGCGTCCCGAACCTTCCCCGCCCGGGGTCCCGCCGCCCCGGGGCGGCCCCCGCAGGCCCGCGGCGCGCTTACCTGGCTGGAGAGCGCCCGCTGCGTGGAGCCGGAAAGTGAGGGGTACACCCGGCGACACCGAGTCCGAGCCCGGCGCCCGGCGCCCTCGTCCCCGCCCCCCCGATCGCCCCGCCCCGCCCTCGGTCGCTCCACAGCGTCCCGGCCCGGGTCCCGGAGCGCGCCGCGGCGGGTTCCTACAGCCCTGCGGCCGTGCCAAGGTCGGAGGCGACGGCGGCCAAGAGCAAGTCCCGCGGCCGGAGTCTCAGGGCGCGTCCCTTCTGTTCCTGGACGCGGCGAGAAGCCTCCTCAGGCCCAGCGTCCTCATCCCGGGAGAGCCGCCCCGCGAGGCCCCGTACCTCAGGCCCGGGAGCGCCCCGAGCAGTGCCACCTGCGGGTGACGAGGAGCCCTGTCGGAGTCGGGAACGGCGCCTCCCCTTCCGCCCAGCTTGGCGGGCCAGGTGGGGGACGCTGTGCGTGGAGCCAGGCGGCAAGTTTTACCAAGAATGAGCCGTTTCATTGTCCAGCCTGAGGCAGCGCCCAGAGAGTCATCGGCGCTAGAACTATCGACACTTCCTTCGTCCGCTGAGTAGCAGAAAACAACGTTTACATGAGACTCAGTGCGTGGCAGGCATTGCTCTGGGAACTTTGCATGTCTTAAAAATCCTGTGAAGTATGTATTATCAGAATCCCCTGTTTTTCCCTATGGCGAAAGAGAGGCATGGAGAAGTTAAATAACTTGCCTAATGTCACCCAACTAGTAAACTGACAAGCGGGGCTTCAAATCCAGGTGGTCCTCTGCAGTCTGAGCTCTTCACCACTGTTGTCCTGACTCACCAAAACGTGTCCTTCGTGTCCCATGAACTGCTGCAGGCCTGGGGAATACAGGACAGGGATCTGCACTCACAGAGCTTTTATTGTGGTGTGGGGAGGAAGACAGTAAGTGATGGTTGTCTAAAGGGGAAAAAATAAGCTGCTAAAGAATTAAAGTTAGTTTTATTCAGAAGTCTTAGTGAGGACTATAGACAGAGGCCTACAACCCATGAGGAGTCTTTTAGAGAGGCTCCGTCAGACTCCTCCAGGGAAGTATTAAAATATTTCAGTTCACAGTTTATCTACCGGTGGTGAAGATTCAGTACCTACAAAATCACATCCAACTCGAGCTGCGAGCCTACCTCTAGTTACGGATTGCAAACGCTTTTGCAAACGCAGAATCGCTAACCCCATCAGATATTATCTTATGTGCAAGAAAAGGAAAGGACTAGGGTCATTTAGCTTGTAAGGAATGTGGTGACTCAGGCGGGAGACGTGGGAATCTGTGTGCTGTCCCCTGTTTCGTCTTCAAAGCATCTTTCCAGAGAGCTGCAGGTTGTCACACGGTCGCGGGCTCTGTGGAATTATGCAGGCAAGCAGAAATGAGCAAACGGGGCTCCTTATGTTGGGTACTTCGTTTCACACAATCCATAAGCAAGTGAGAAACGAAACCGTTTCACAGGTGAGAAGTGTCTCGATTGAAATAAAGCAGGGCTATGCAATTGAGAGTGCAGGGGAGAGAAAGTCGGCTTTAGATATGGTGGTCCTGGAGGCCTCTCTGCGGGGACAGTTGGAGCTGAGGCCTGAATGATAAGACCGGCAGCCAACCCGAAGGTGAAGCTGAGGGAATGGCGAGGACATTAATAGTTGTCACACCTCATGCTGGTCTGGGACTTAGAAGTAGTGCCTTCCTGTATTATTTCTGCTATGATCGCTGTAATAACCCTGAGGAGACGTCTGACAAGATTCCATTTGACAGGGAAAAAAAAAAAGAGGGTCAGAGGGATTATAATGATTTTCCTAAAGTCAGACAATTAGTTAGGAAAAAAAGGGGAATGGAAAGAGAGCACAGATTTGGACCAAGGCCTTCCGATTCCAAATCCTCTTTCACTCCAGTGAGGGCCTCGAGTATAATGACCTGTACTCTGAATGAATCTGGTAAAATTTCTCTTTTGTTATCTGCTATTTCCTCCCTACCCCAGTGTCTCCTGCCTGTTATCCATTCAGATAAGTGTTTGACTGTCTAACATAATTTCCCCCGGTGCGGATGGTCTTTGTGGGGGTGGAATCGTGAACCATCTGAAATTGAAAGCAAAGAAATTGTGTGTGGGGGTGGGAGAGAGAGAGGTATATAATTATAGTAATAAAGTTAATTTGCTCCCAAGAAAAATGTTCATATACATATATTTTTAAGCAAGAGGGCTTAGAACTTTTATCATATTGACTGATTCCAAAATGGTAAGAGCCACTGCCTTAAGGGATTAACTGATAATATTGTAGAGATTAGAACAACCAATTTCCAATTCATTTTGCCTGTTCTGGCTGAGTAACTCTGGCAGCTCATATTCTTGACTTAATGGAAATAAGACTCTCAATATTTATGAAGTTCAAAAAGAAAACCCAGACCTCACATAACTCCTTCATAAAGTTTAAAATTAAAAGAGAGAAAAGCGTCTGTATAATCCCTCCTGACTCTCAGAAAAACCAGAGAGGACAGACCTGTAAATAAAACCCCTAGATCAACATAATTCTTAGTAATAATTGGTAATTTCCATACTGGTATACCATTTCTGAAAGAAGGCATTCATTACACCATCAAACAGTTTAAGTAGGAGGTTGCAATACTTACACCATCCACAGATCAGGTAATATAGAACATTGACAATTGTTTTCAGTGGGGTGTGGATTAAAAAGAGAGAGAAAGAGACAGAAAAAGGGACCATTAGAGAACTTCAGCTATGTCAAGGAAAAGATATAAAAGCTGAACTCAGGATGTGGTTGGCTAAAAATAAAAAGTTTGGTCTTTATTTTTTCTTCTTATTATTTTTTAGGTGAAAGCAGAATACAAAGTTTGGGCCTACATAACTTAACATTGGTCCCTAGCCAAAAGCAGGAATCTGGTGGTGAACTTAAAAAGATTTCTCCCCCTGCCTCCAAGGAAAAGACTCAAATAATGTAAGTATCACTTTCTTTATTTTAATAAAATTGAGATACAGGAAAAAGAGCATTTATGTAACTTTCTGGGAGACAGGAATCTCCTTTCTTACAAGATATCCCCGTGGCTTCTATAAAATTTGTAAGTTTAGATGAGTGTTCAATATCAGGTTGACATAATTTCAGTTCCTTGAAAGAAAGAAAATGTCTCTTTTTAATCTGCATGTAGATTCCACATGGTGCATAAAAAGACATACAGAATCAACCTGGAAGGTTTACAAATAAAGCAGTGTTTATATTAATATTTGGAGCCTCTTATACTCTTCTGTAGGTCTCTGACTTCCTTTTATAACCTTCTTTCTACCCAGAAGGGACCTGGCCCATCATAGGTAATTAATACATGTTTGTTGGTGAATGAATGATGACGTTGATGATGATAATGCAAGCCTTATCAGTCTTATATGGGAGTCTGTTCCTACATGAAAATGGCTTCATTGTGGTAGTATGTTGTGTCTGCTTCTCTTTCCCTCACGTGCTGAAAGTAGTTGCTTCTTTGTAACTACTACATGGAAAGAAGGAAAGAGTTTTAAATGTTGGACACAAAATCAATAATCATACTCCCAGGAAAGATGCTAAACAAATAATTCAAAAGAAAAAAAGCATCATATACAAAGTATGTTAAGTATGTTTATAAGATCATTGTGTTAGGTAGATAGCAAGGGATTGGGTGTCTCCTAGGAACAAAAGTGGGTGCTGTTGCCCCCATCTTCGTCCTGCCCCACCCTAATGCTGTCTCGAGGAACTGCCAGACCTGGGGGAAGCGGGAATACCCTATGAATCTGCCCATCAGAACTTGGCGTGCCAGAATGCAGAGGGCTCTCTAGCCCATGGGCCAAGCCAATAGGTACCATAAAGTCTGGAAATTGACCTAGAGCAAGCTGCATGCATAGTTAAGGCTCAGGTCATGTGACTCCCGACTGTCCAATCAAAGTGGTTCCATGGTGACCTCTGAGCCACTAGGGGAGGTCCCAATCCAGCACTATAAAACAAGTCACAGACCATAACCAAACTCTCATTTTCCTGCTGCAGTAAGGGGTCCCATCATCACCTGTGGTGTATGTAATCATGCTCTGTAAACCTATATCTTGCTCTTGCCCTGTAATCCTATTATAATCTTATCTTGCTCCCCCTCAATAAATTTCACCTCATGCTCACCTTACTTTGGTGCGTCTGGTCATTCTTCGACCATGGATGCGCCAGCCGACATTTTCAGACTAAAACCTGACAGTTATTTATAGTAATAAAATAAATGTCCAATAATGAGGAAATGTTTAAGTAAAATATATCAATAGTATGGAATGTCAGGCTGCCATTAAAAGTTATCTATATTTAAATAGGTGAAAGAAAACTCATGAACAAGAGTATATTTTAAAAAGTAGAATACAATGCTTTGTGTACCCTATGATTAAAATTAAATAAAAATTGTGTGGAAAAAATTGTAGGGTTGAAAATAGGAATTATGGTTAGCAGTTATTGAGGGGATTCCTACGTGCCAGGCTCTTGTCTAAGCACATTAGATTAATTCATCTAATCCTCACAACAACTGTGTGAGGCAGGCGGTTGTTATCTTCATTTTACAGATGAAGAAACTAACACAGAGAAGGTCTAAGTAATTTACACAAAGCCACACGAAGCCCAGATGTGAATATAAAGCACTATGACTTCGGAATTTGCACCATTAACCATGCAGAAGTGGGTCATTTTTTTTAATTACAAAAATTTGCTCATTTAATGGAAATGATCGTATACAATTGTTTATATATATATACATATTTATAAAGACTAGGTAAGCAATCAAAATACATGCTTTCCGTTAGGAAAGTTAACACTTCTATTAATAGACTACATGACTTCCTTTTAGTTTGGATGTCTGGGTCTGACTCACAAGGCAGGTGTTGGGGTTTGGTGCTGGACTTCAGCCTCTAGAAAATGTATTTTTTAAAATATTTCCTGTATAATGTTTTTATGTTGGCTTGATAGTAAGTGAAAACTTTTTAAATTATAGAGCCGAGAGAAGAAGGC